CACCTACAGGCATTCAGGAAGTTATATGTGGTGAGTGGCCGATGGCGGGTGGTGGTGGGTGGCGGGTGGATGGTAGGTGGTGGTGGTGGGTGGTGGTGGCAGGTGGGTGGTGGTGGTGAGTAGTGGTGGTGGGGGGTGGCTGGTGGGTGGTGGTGGCGGAAGACGGTGGTGGAAAATGGTGGCGGGTGGTGGCTAGTGTTGGGTGGTAAAGAAAAAAAAAAAATTGAAAACTCAAAACGGAAACACATTTTTTGAGTTTACATTTTTTGCCCAAATTTATAAACTGAGACCACTGATTTATAAATCAAAAATTTACCAAACAAGTTTTTATTTAAATTTTTGTAAATATAAACAAAAAATTAAAAACGTAAAGATTACTAAACGGTACCTTATGATTTGTTTACTATTTTTAATAGCTTTTTAATTTTTTTTTAAATCTGGCCACAAATGATTCGTTAAAAATGGAGGTACGGGACAAACTTTTTAAATGATTCGTTAAAAATGGAGGTACGGGACAAACTTTTTATATTCAAAAATAGCATGCTAGTTGACCTTCTATATCCACATGCTAGTTTCATAAAATCTGAATCAAAATTTAATATTTCAATTTTTTTTTTTAAATTATTGTTCTAAAATAATGTTTTTACCCAAAACACAATAATATAATATATAGAAGTCCTGAAAAAGATAAATCAAACAAAAAATAGTAGTACCTTGTCATCATCAAGATATGCAGCCCAAAAGCGAGCAAGGGCACCATCATAGGGATCAGAAAGGGATCAGAAGGGAGGATAGAGGGACCAGAGGTCCAAACCTCATCAATGTATTGAACGATGATGAGAGACTCACATATAGACTTGCCACTATGGATGAGAACCAGCATTTTCTTATGAATCGGGTTGGATTTTAGGAGTTCGCTTTTGGTACTGTACGGGGAGCAAATATTCCGGCAAGTCCGTACTCCTTTCTTCCGAGCTCCATTTATGTCCGATCGCCTGCGAGCAAATAACGATGAGCTGCCCGGCGGTGTGTGGCCGGAAAAACCCTTCGACGATCAAGTTAGCACACACCTTAGGATAGAGAGAGAGAGAGGAGTGTTTGAGTGTAAGAATTTCCTTACAGAATGTTCGTCTGTCGCGTATGGGGGGCGCAGACATGCTTATATACCTTCTGCGCCCCATATCCACTCCCAGTCATCTCTTGACACGTGGCTCCGCTATCCCATCTGTCAGCATAAACCTTGCTAAACATCACCTAATCTCAACTGCCTGCCTTCTCAGCTGGAGCTCGGCAGCCGAGCTTCTCTATCCACGGTCGTGCTGTGCTTCATTTCCAAGCACTTCACTGGCTAAGCCCAAGGAAGACCGGGCTAGGCAGCATCTCGGCAAAGCCTAGCCCGGGGTACCTCCTGTGGTCGGCCTTCCTGCCGATCAAACGATCACCTCGGCTGACCACGCCTTTCCGGGCGCCGGTCGCTCAACTTGACTGGCTCCACCATCGCCTGCTCAAGCAGCTCGGTCCAACTGAGCACTGCCCTGCCGAGCAGCTTCCTTAAGCTCTGAGGCGGCACATACTTGGCCCGACTCCTGCCCGGCCCAGGTCCTGGCAGCCCATCTTCGGGCGGATCGCCGGTCATCTCAGCCCCATGCACCATTAGGCTCTCAACTTGCTCGGCCGTTACCTCGGCCCAATTCCAGATCATAAATCTCCCTCTCAATTGCCCCTTAATTCCGTCCGCGCGAGTGTGGTTGGGATTACCTATACTTCGACCGGGGTAACATTTCTTCGGTCTTCAAAATGCTAAAGGCCGACTAGGCTAGTTAACATTACTGTCTGCCAACTTGCCCGGTTATATTCCTCGGCTGACGTCCTCTTCTTTGAAAGTAGCCCGGTTGGCTCCTCGACTCTTCAACCTGTCTCTTCAGTTCTGAGGTCGCCATAAATGGGGACACATGGCGGCTGCCATTGGTTCTCGAGCAGCCAACCCGTCGTGTTGCCAGAATTTGAATTTGGGCGGTCTCTTTCGTCTATATATACAAGACCCTTCTTCCTCCCTTTCCTCCTATTGTCTTTCTTGCTTATCAAGCGTCACAGAGCTATTGCCCATCCTCTGCCGTTCCTGACCTCGAGCTCCAAGGTGAAGAACACATTGCCCTAACTTGGTAAGTCCTGAAACTCCCCTTTTATTGTCATTTTCTTCGATATTTCACACATTAAGGGAGAGAAACGCAGCTTTTAGGATTCGGGCACCAAAAACCATCCCAAACCCTCCAATACTCATGATGTTCTTCATTTTTCCTGAAGAACACTGAAGAACTGGGGCTGACCGGGCTCCTGGTCTTCATTTGATCCAAAAAACCAATCTGACCGAGCAAATAACATGTTTGTCTCAACCCCAGCAAAAACCGAGATAGCAAAAGGAATTGGTCGCTCGACCGGGCTAACATTTGGTCTGCTTAGGTGACCGAACTCGTTAGTTAGCTTAGACGACCGAGGTGGTTTAGCACTCTTAATGACCGAGCTAAAGTCTAGCTCCTTTCGCGCGACCGTGCTCACACTTACACTCGCCATCATTTTCCTGCAGAGTCCAAGGGGACCACTTGTCCATTCCTGAGGCTCTCCAGGCCGAGCAACAACCAATTACCACAGTGCCAAACTCCTCAGCCGAGCTATCCTAGGCCGACCACACATGGGAAAATTTTGATTTCTCGTAGATACTCCGGCTGCACTGGTTGCATTCAGGGAGGAGTACGGCATCCCGGCCGATGTCCACCTTGAACTTGCAGAAATTGAGACAACGCCTTGGGGCAGGGAGGAATGCCCCTTCACCGTGCTATCCATCGTCGAAGGGGGCCTTCATTTCCCACTCAACCCATTGATTACCGAGTTCCTGCGCCGAACCGGGCTAGTGCCCACCCAAGTGTCCACCAACACTTACCGGATAATAAATGGCGTGCACGAGCTAAACAACCGGTTAGGCATAAGCCTAGGTTTAGCCGAGATCCTGCGCCAATACACCCTAGGCCACACTGGCGACGGCCTCGCCTATTATCTTAAGATTAGACCGGGCAGAGAGAAAATCATGACCGGCACAGCAGACAAGGATCTTCACGACGATGATTTCTTCTGGGTGTCAGGCAATTATGAGACAGCCGAGGTACCGGGCTGGATGATAAGCAAAAACTTTGGCAGCACATGTAAGCCGCGCAAATTAGCTCGGTTAATATACTTTCTTCATGTTTCTGTACTTAGTCATTTTCTTTCTTGTTTCTTTTGCAGCAATCCAAGCCTTGCAAGCCAACTATCATTTCCCTAACTTAGAGGCAATCAAGATCGCGCTCCGCTACCGCGACCGAGATTGTAATCAATTGCTCGGCTACAGTCCCACATATAGATACTCCGCTCCCCGCCGGAGTAAAGTTACAGACTTCCTCCGCCCTCCAACACCTCCACCAGATCCAACTCTGCCAGACGTTTCACTCATTCGCTTGACGGAGGAGCAAGAGATGGCCAAGCGAAGCAGAATTAAGAACCTGCTCACCGCAACATCTGCCGAGATGCCGAGCGTTATCACCCACTCGCCAGCCGCCGGTCAATCCAGCGGCGCCGTGGTCGCTCTTGCCTCTCAAGCGACCGGGCAGTCCAGCCGAGAACTTGCTCCTCGCCGTGCTGGTAAAAGAGCTCGCGCAGACCCGTCTGCCGAGCTTGTCACCGAGCTGTCTACCGAGCAGCCATCTGACACTCCTGTCCCAGTGCCGGCCTGGCGTCCACAGCTGAAGCACCGAGGTCAAGACATCCTGGCC